CACTTCATGTACGGGGTACTACTTACTAGCACCAATCAATAATTATGAAAACCACGCGGTGTCGCTTCTTCGTTGAATTTGGCGCTAAACCTCATCGGGTCTTAGTCACTTTGAGGATTTATTCTAGCTACATATGTCGCCTCTCTTCAGCTCCCCTAGAAAGGTTAGCGCGGCGCAAGCCTGTACTTCACCTGTGGAAGCTAGCAGGACACCACAACTAATGGAGAACAGCCTAGCGCAGCGCCAAAGCCGGCTTTATGCAGGGCTTCCACGACTACAAAGCAGTAAGGGCTGCTGCCTCCTAGCAGTTCCTACTTCTTGCTGTGGATGTAACCACTACTATACGATGCTGATGGTACAAGCGGGCGTTCTTTGAATGTTCACCCTTGCTCTGTGGAGATAACCTGAAAAGAGGAATCCACCGAGCAAAAGCGCGATTTTATTCAAGTCTTTCCCATACGATTAGCATGGGATGGGCCTTCGAATGAACGGAGTGCGAGTAAATGAACCACTCAGTTGGGTTTAGGGAAAAAAGTCTACTGAATTGTTACTTGGATAGCCATAAATATGTCTTACAGGAAATTCTCCGACGCGATTGGATGTTCAAATTGGTGGGCAAAGAATCATTTCAACTCGGAACAATGAAATGTATAATTACTGTGGAAGCCTTGGGCACATTTGCTTACGAGTATTCCCTAGAGGTGAGCCGTTCTCTTTGTGATCTTAGAACAAGTGGTGAGAACCATAGTCGTTTCAGGTGAACGGAAAGAATTATGAAAAATTCCGAGAGGAACAAAGTAAGAAGCTACTGTGTTGGGAAACTCACATAGGTGGCGAAGAGACGAGAATAGTGCTAGGTTAGTTATATTTTTTATTGTGCTGGATTAATACCTTGCGTCAATGGGTAATCGGGGAGTCCACGAGATGGACCATACACCCATTGACCTTAGGGGCTCGGAAAACTGTGTGGTCCATTTTGGGGCTCAAGAGAGCTCAACAAGATCGGCACATAGTATTGGGTTGGCCCATAAGTAATGCCGCA